TGGAGAGTGACGCCTGGGTAGCTTCTGCTCATATATGGCAGCAGTATCTCCATTTTTGGCCTGATCTAGCTCTTGTAAAGATGGAGGTTAGCGGGATGATTCAGGTACTTACTGAAGTAGTACAGAGAACCAACCATTTCTCCAGAATCTTTAGCCATGGATCGTATGGACGAGTTCCACTTGAAGTTAGGGTTGAGTTTAAAATCTCAACAGTGAAATAAATTATGGTTGTCAATAACGATGGTTTTAAAGAAAGATCAGTGAAACACAATTCCATCCTGTTTGGACATCTCTGCTCCAAAGAAAAATATATGACAAAAAAAAAAAAAAGAAAAGAAAAAAAAAGGCAATTTATAGATTAAAAAATAAGAAACCTTTTTTTTTCCCGCCTCCACTTGCTGTTACGTTTTAAACGTCATCAACTTGGTTTGTTTTCCTTGATTTGAATTCTTAAGTGTTTCGAGCTTATTACACTGTTTTTACTCAAATTAAGGAGTGACCAAGACTAGCAACTACTAGTTGAAATATTTCCATTAAAATAAATCATTCGTTGGAACTACAAGAGTTTTTTCTTTCTTTTAATTATGCAACTACCAACGGAGACAAGCATCCTAACTAAACAAAAGTAAACGGTTGACCCTAGACTTGAACAGGCCAAGATAGTAAATTCCATCTTGGTCCAGATATTTTTTTTCAGTGATGTTCATTCTGTACAAGGCCCAAGATCCACTCGTGGTAGAGAGTTTCAGATTAAGAGGCATACTTTATTCTGATATGTGAGTTAAGATAACGGTTGACCCTAGACTTGAACAGGCCAAGATAGTAAATTCCATCTTTGTCCAGATATTTTTTACAGTGATGTTCATTCTGTACAAGGCCCAAGTATCGTCATTATATCTACATTCTTCTTCATGGCGATAATAGCTCTCCTCAACTTCCTATCTCGCGTAACTCTTAGCAGCGGTTATTCACTTGCTAGAGTTAAAACCGCAGTATATTGACACAAGTTTGTCATTGAAGTGGCTCGCTGTCTTCTCCTATCTTGCGCTCAATATGCCCGTGAGGATTAAGTTTTCTAAGCCCTCTTTCTTCATGATGTGTCCAAGAAATATCAGCTGTCTTTTCCTGATTTTGTGTTCTTTCTGTTGCCATTTTCTTTGTTTTCTGCCTTCTTGCAGTTAATGGTTAGTTTTTTTTGCTAAAAAAAAAACAAAAAAACATGATTCAAAATGAAAAAAATGGTTAGAAAAATTAATCAGCTAAGAAATGAAGGGGGATAACTCTAATTGTAAACTTGATCTTTTAATTGGTTAATGTCAAGGTGCTACTTTAATTTATCTTTTAAGGAAATACTAAAATAAACCTTTTAAGATAATAATTAAATTAATCTGTTAAGGTTTTACTTGAATTTACATTTTCAGGTGCTACTTAAATTAACCTTTTTAGGTAATACTTGAATTAACCTTTTAAAGTACTACTTAAATTTAACTTTGAGTTACTACTTACGTTACCCTTCCAAGTTACTACTGAAATAGTTCTTAAGGTTCTGTTTAAATAAACCTTTTAAGGTGCTAATTAAATTTACCATATATTTTCCATATAAACTTTGATATTTCCATAAAAAAAAGATCAAGGAAAAAAGGCTGTTAGAATTAATTAAATTAATCTTTTAAGGTGCTACTATATTTACCTTTTAAGGTATTACACAAATTAATCTTTTAAGGTACTACATAAATTTACCTTTTAAGGTAATACTGAAATTAACCTTTCAAAGTACTACTTAGATGTACCTTTAAGGTACTGCTTAGATTAACCTTTTAATGTACTACTGAAGTTTACCTTTTAAAGTACTATTAATTTTACATTTGAGGTACTACTTAGATTAATCTTTTAAGGTACTATATAAATTAACCTTTTAAAGTACTACTTAGATTAACCTTTTAAGGTACTACTGAAGTTTACCTTTTAAAGTACTATTAATTTTACATTTGAGGTACTACTTAGATTAACCTTTTAAGGTACTATATAAATTAACCTTTTCAGGTACTACTTAGATTAACCTTTTAAGGTACTACTGAAATACACCTTTTAAAGTACTATTAATTTTACATTTGAGATACTACTTAGATTAACCTTTTAAGGTACTATATAAATTAACCTTTTAAGGTACTACTTAGATTAACCTTTTAATGTATTATCTAAATTTAACTTTAAGGTGCTCCTAAAAGTTAAACAGCCTTTTTTTCCTCGATCTTTTCTACATTGTACTTTGAGAGACAACTGTATACACGTCTAAGGTATGACTTCGGAGGAAGCAATAGAAATGAGGTTTTGAACCAAGTGATATTAGAGGAGATGTCGTAAAGCCCTGGGACTATACGTGCTGTGTTTGTTCTGTTCAATAAAAATGCTTGACAGACTGACTCAGTAGATTGGTACCTAACATAAAGTTGGTACCAAGCCTAAAGTTCGATAACAATTGCTATGGACACATTCAATATTATTTTTCAAAGAGTGTGGCAAACATTATTCAAGTTGAAGACGGAAAAGTCTTAGTTACACAAGGTCAGTTTCAAGGTCAGTCGAGTGTCGGTGCAAGATTATGAGCGTTCGGGGTGCTAGATTCACAGGAGAACGTGGAAGAAAATTTGCAAACATACAGCTGAAGCGTCGCTGAATAATCTATAAACTCTTTCAACTGACTATAATCACATATGCAATACTCCAGGATATCCTCTCCCAGGGACTATAGGCAAGTGGCCTGCAGCACACTGGATCAGACGGCGGTTTCCTGTACAAAAGCGGACGCAGGTTCGAAACCTGCCCGACAACATATTGCCTTTATTACGACACTCGAATACACAGTAATGCATACTGTTAAAAATGGACACACACGAATAGGGCCGCGACTTAATGTAATTTTTCCTTCCACTGACCGTTTCGTAGCATACATTTACATCGTAATCTCTTATTGAGAGTAAAGCTTGTTTGACGGAAGGTAATATAAAAAGTTTACGAACATTCGACTAAATGAACAAAATGCTTTATCGTGGAGTTTAAAATTCGAATTTGCCTTAATTTCTCCTTTATTGAAACTTTTAAAAGTAATCAGATGTGACGTGCCAAAAGTTTTTTTCATGTCAGAATCCATCTTGCACATTTACAAATTTACCACTCGAACGTGCATTGAATACTGTTGCCATATCTGGTCTGGTGTTCCTGCTGTCCATCTCGAGGTTCTTGACAAAATGCAAAGAAGGATCTGCAATGTAATCGATTCTGACTTGGCATCGCGACTTCAGTCACTTTCTCACCGACGTGGCCTGACTTCTCTCTTTCTTTTCTAGAAATATTTTCATGGCAACTGCTTTGACGAACTTTTTTTTCCCCTGGTGCCCGACTATATGAATTTATGCGTCCTACTAGATTGGCATCTAGGTCCCACCCTTTTATTGTTGAAATAGTTAAATGTAACCGCCAATTCTACTCCAACAGTTTCTTTTCTCTCACTTCCCGCCTGTGCAACTCCCTTCCGTTTACTTGCTTCCCTGAAAACTACAATCTTCAAAAATTTAAATGTCAATCGCCATGCCATTTTCTATCTTCTTGAATCCCGTTTATCTTTTATCCTTTCCTCAATCCCCCACCCTATAACCAGTTTTTTTTTCTCTCACTTTCACTTTCTTTAACCCGCTGTGTACTAGTGGTATTCTCGCCTTGCTTATGGTCAAATGATTAAAAAAAAGAAAAAAAGATACATTGTTTAACTTGGTAATTTAATCCCGCTTCAACCAGAAGTCTGAATGACTAATGTTTTCTTTGAGCAAAATGACTTCTTTATCAAGCCGCTGATATCGTTTCGGGTTTATACAACAATCCACTTTTTTTCCAGTAGTAGAATATAGTTTCTCAAATATAGTAATGAGTTCAACACTTGTACCAAACTAAACAAACCTACTTAAACTGATATGGAACTTTCAAGTCAGACTGTTATACCACCCACCTTCATGGTCTGTCTATTTACGCGCTTGTAAAATATTTGAAATAGCAAGAAATTCTATTATGAGCAAGGATATTTTGTGGTTCTACCAAGAATTTCCAAAACTTTTGAGGTTTAATCATTTGTATAGATTTTGGGAAGTAGATCGTGCATTGGACTTTTCGGTATCTCTTTTTAGATCAATTCAAAATAAATGTACGAACGTTAGAGAGGTAATGAATTGACTATTGTCAGGATGTATTTATTTAAACGCATTCGTCCCAAGAGTTGTTTAACAGTTTCAAATTGTCCAAATCAATCGATTTCCTGCCATCTTATTTTTGAGTAAATAATTTTGGGTTTAGAATGTGTCCAAGAATGCCTAACTTCCAATTTTGAAATACAGTTTATAAGTAATCATTTAATGATTCTATATTTCGATGGTGGGTTTTAAATCCTCACCAGTAAAATTTACATCATCAACAATATTTTTCTTTTCTTTTTTTTAATATTCATTCACTTCCGGTTTAGTTGTTCGTTTTGCTTGGAGAGTACTATGCAAAGGTTAAAATGTTTGTGGGCAGCAATACGATTATCGAAAGAAGAACCTGTGAAAATTTTCAAGGGTAATAGTCTTGTGTGGTTGGTATGGGAGGAAAGATAATTGACTCCCTTTTTTTATTCTTTTCTGTCAGGGGTTTCTTTTGTGTACAGTGGGGCAGGAAATAGGCTATGGCTTGGATTCTCTAAGAAAATAAAAAGGAAGACCAAGACACAGATATGAAGACGAAGTAGATGGAACCGAAAGAGGTGATGGCGGGAATACATGTTTTAGAATTGGAAATAAAGGGGGTGAAAGAGTAGTAGTAGGATAGTGGTGGTGTCTAGGGGGGGTGCTGTATTGATGGGTAAGGGTGCTACGGTAGATATCTGAGGCAAGGCTGTGGAAGAGTTTTGTGAGCTTAGTGTCCTTCAAAACAGGCAACTATGGCCAACTATATGAGAGGGAAAAAAAGAAGCATTAAACAAGATGGAGTCTGAGAGGAAAGTAAGAAGCTGGATAGGTAAGAAGTAAAAGCTCTGCTGAGCCTGGACGCACAGGGTGACAGGTGACGTGGGGAAAAGCAAGAAAGATGGTTGGGTTGCAAGAGGAGGCATCTCGGTCCATACCCACCCACACATTGAGACCTACCCACGTCACAGCTTCACCCTGCCCCTCATCTTTTTCTGTGAGGATGCTGCTGCTGTTTGTGATTTGGTTGTGGATGCTGCTGCCACCGCAACTGCTTTTTCTGGGAGGATGAAGGGTAGGTGAAGCGACACATGCCGACCTGTGTAGTGCTGAGGGTGGCTGCGGTGTTGAGGATGCGATGATGCAGACCAAAATGCTGGCTGTTGGGGGTGGGAGAACGGAAAGAGGGAGAAAAAGATTGGTGGGGAATGGTAGGGAGAAAAGGACGTAAGAGAAGAAAATGGTCGTGATGGTGATTGTAAGGATGCATATCGAGGGTGGAGGCGATGGCGGGTCCCGTGGTAGAAGGAAGATGAGGGTAGTAGCCATGGAAGTGGAAGCATTGTCGACGATGAAAAACAGAATCCCTGACCCCCGACTTATTTCCCTCGTCTCTCTGGATGCTATTATCATGATTCTATTATTTTTTTTTCTTTCTCTCTCATCTTCTTTCTCTTTGTCTCTACCTATCCCCTCTACCTGTCTCTTTCTTTCTCTCTCTCTCTCGATCGCTCTTTTTAAAAGCGTTTTGTTTTTATATTTCTTTAGAAATAAAATAAAATAAAATACACATCGTTTTTTCCCCGTGATTTTAAAATCGTTAACTTATTTTTAAACCATAGCTGGATTTTTGGTTGTTCAGTTCAAGATATTTAAGGGAGAAAGACATTCCTGGAAAAGGAATTTCACCCAGATCGCAAAAGAAGACAGTTAAAAAAAAAAAAAAAATGACCCGGCCAGTCGAACTGCATAGCCATTGTATAGTGACCTATGCCAGGGAAGACAGGTTCCATTGAACAAGCCTGGAGACAATGCTGCTCAAACCAGGCCACCAGACAAAGCGTTCTATAGATTCAAATAGAAAAAAAAGATATGAAATAATAGGTTTTAGAATAAGGCGGGAAAAGAAAATACATCCATTTTATACAAAAAATGTAAATAAAAATAAAATAAAATAAGGCATGACATTCATTTACTCAATGTAAACAAACAAATTAAATCAAACAATATTTTATCGGCGTTTTTGTTGTAATATTACGTGGCAATTTATTAATTTGTTTTACAAAAAAAAAAAAAATCTAGAAATACACCTGTCAAAGTGACTAATATTTATAATCTCATGTTTCGACATTCTGTAAGGAATAATATGAATGAAGCTTAATTTAAACTTTTAATTCAAATTACGATATCCAGTAAAAAAAATAAAAACACGAAAAATAATTCACGGAGTTTAAAAAAAGAATAAGGAAAAGGAAAGAAACAATAAAAGAAATGTAACTGTATTCACATACAAATACATACATTCAAAGATATCTATCTATCTATCTATCTATCTGTCTGTCTGTCTATCTATCTATCTATCTATCTATCTATCTATCTGTCTAATTATTTCTTTCTATCTATCTATCTATCTATCTATCTAATTATTTCTATCTATCTATCTATCTATCTATCTAATTATTTCTATCTATCTATCTATCTATCTATCTAATTATTTCTATCTATCTATCTATCTATCTATCTATCTATCTATCTATCTATCTATCTATCTATCTAATTATTTCTGTCTAATTATTTCTATCTATCTATCTATCTATCTATCTATCTATCTAATTATTTCTGTCTAATTATTTCTATCTATCTATCTATCTATCTATCTATCTATCTATCTATCTATCTATCTCTATATGTGTGTAGATATTTACGCATGAAGTTCAGTTATAATTATGAAAAATCGAATATGTTTTTGCATAATGTATTATATAAGAGAGATATACTGAGTAATAATAAATGTATAAAAAATAATGTACACGTATATGTATGATAATGAGAATAGATCATAAATATGTATATGTATATAATATATAAGCAATATATATATATATATATATATGGCAATATATCTATGTATATATATATGTATAAATCGTTATATGCATATATATGCATATATATATGTGTGTGTGCGTGTGTGTATAGGCTGTAGATAAAATAAAGTAATAATATATTACATCCATATGTTAATAATGGAAAATATATCATGTATAAATATACAGTTACATACACACACACACACACACACATATATATATATATATATATATATATATGTGTGTCTGTGTGTGTGTGTGTGTATCGCACACTATAGTCAATTCATATGCACTGTTTTATCATATTTAAATATAAGGTTCACTTAAATACAATATCATTTTGATTCTAGAATATGTATATATATATATATATATATATATATATATATATATATATATATATATATATATATATATAT